AAAACATTAAATCCACAAATTTAACAGTAGCTGCTTTATACATGTGCTTGTATTATAAGTACAAGTAGATAGATCGATTTTTGTTGTCTAAAGAGTTGAAAGGTCTGGTTAGTATAGTAAATAGAAAAAATTAACCACAATTAATGCATTAAATATCAATTATTATTTATTAAATATTCGAGACCAAAATTCTTCTCCAATTTATTTTGAAGCAACATTGTTTGGTAGCCCTGTCTTAGAAACATCAAAATCCAAATACACAGAGCTAAGGGCAATGATAGAGAGACAGAGACAGATACAGAGATAGAGACAGAGAGAGAGAGAGAGAGAGAGAGAGAGGGGAGAGAGAATTGGGCGCCAGGAGAGCAACGAGAGCAGAGTGGCATTTCCAAATAGTGCTGGGATTAGGTGCCAAGATTTATGGACGCGCACGAATTGTGCTTCAGATAAGACGCAACTAAAACACGTTGAAGCGACGCGGCGCGACGGCGACGGCGATGGCGATGTGATGGCGTTGGCGATGGAGACTAGAGAACGTGGCAGCTGATAATAGTGCAACATCTGGTATGGTGGGGCCTGGGTCAGCTATCGAGTGATGTGGCCACTGATTGTCCCTGTCAGAGGCGTTTTGCACACACACACACACAAACACACGCACACCAATGCTAATGGTATTTCAGCGATATAATTGGGCATGCCTCAGAGAAGTGCCGACTTAGTTTTTGCCCAACAGGGACGCACCAATTGCCCAACGATGAGCCGACGAGGCAGCCAGCTGCGAGGATTTTCCTCTAAGCGATTGTTGCTCCCATGGCTCTGGTGGCTCCGATGGCTCCGGTGGCTCCCACGGCCAGCTTCGTCGCATGGTCACGCATTTTCGTCAGCAACAGCAACAGCAACAGCTTCGCAGAGGTGTGGAGAAGTGACCCACTCACCATCACTTGTCAGCTATATAGCATATATATGTATATACATATGTATGTACAAGTACTATATACTATATATTGGCTTCTCTGTTTCATTTTCGTTTTCGTTTTTATTTCGTGGCCACAATTTATGCGCTGCGTGCTACTGAGGTCAACAAAGTACGTGGGCGGATGCTCATTCTTTTTTTCTTTCACACGTACGAGTACGCGTACTTATGTATGTATGTGTACTAGTATATACATACATACATACAGACGTTTGAATGTATGTAGCTACTATTATTGGATACATGCTTATGTTATGGCTCTGTAATGCGTTGGGCAGCGTATGGAGCCACTCTTTGTCTTTGTACATAAACATTGGACTCCCTGAATAGCTAAAGCACTTTTGCCCTTTATTTCCACTTTAGGCACAAAAAGATATTTTCGTGGCCAGGAATGGCGAACGATTTTTGCACGTGGTTAACTGAAGTGCTTCATACAAGTAGATATGTTGCTACTACAATACTATTGCTATTGTTGTTGTTGTTGTTGTTTCCATTGTTGTTATTTGTTGTTGGTGGGACGAACTGTCTGGCCTGTGTGATATGTGGGAAGGTGGACTCGAGGCCAGGCTGGCTTGCCTGCCTTGGCTGCCTTGGCTGCCTTGACTGGCAGACACACACTGCGAAAAGGTAAAGGAGCCCCAAAATAAAATAACAAACAACAAATAAACAATTGCGGCAAACGTCTACAGAGAATCAACAGCTGTACGACTATATATGTCGAAAACAAACAATGCCGGTGGCTTGTGCTGGAACTGTGAAGGGTCTGCTATGCCCCTGGGCCCACGCATATATACTTATATATATATATATACACACACACATCTACATACTCGTATGTCGTCCATAAGTTGCTATTTTACTGAAAATCATGACAATTACAGCTACTGAATGTCCCCTTAAATGACTCAAATGATGTGTGCTTTTCAATGCTCATAGAGGGTGTTTGAAAAGGAATTAAATTTAATTGAATTTATAAATAAATGGCATTGCGTTGTTGATTAAAAATACTTCTGTACGATTCTGAACAGGTGAAGAGGATTATCTAATAGTAGCAGTAGAAGCAATCGATGAGTTTCATAATTGTAATACATTTTAAATTGTATGCAACAGTTTTCCGCTTGAAAAAGCTTCGACATATTTCGTCTTATTATGAATAAGAATTTTAACTATGGAACTCAAAGTAACGTTTGGTTGGAGAGGAGAACCTGGCTCGGATTATCTTAAAACTCTTTCAATTACCAAGCCAGCTTTGGGGCATTAAATATTTAGGTCCAACTATCTGGTATTCGAATGACAGTCTTCTCGTTTTTCAATCCTATATACTCGTTTATTTATTATATCAAAAACAATTAAGTGTTTTTTGTTTTTTACCGAAAAACCAACGCAGGTTATGCAGAAATGAATTCCTCTAGAAATAAATTCTTATTTATTCTGTTCCTGTCATCTTGAATATCGTCATTATTTCCATTTAAGTTGCGTAGAAACTTTGGTTGCCATAGGAATATCCTTTGCTGAAATCAATCGCTGTGAATATAAATTCAAGTTAATGCCCAGTTTTCGATTCCACGCCCAATGCCGAACATAATGATAATAAATTATTCTTGAGCTATGCACAACACAGGGTATCTGTATCGTAGGCTGCCGTCCCCTTACCTGTTTACATTCCAAATATAAAATGTAAATATTATGAATGTCGATGATACTCGTAATCGACGATCGTAAATATCCATAATTCTACTCTTGGGCAACAAAATTGAATTTCCTTCGGAGTTTTTTGAACGTTATCTGTCAAATATAAACACAAGCGCTTACATTGTGATGCCTCGAAACACACACAATACTCGTATGATGAAACACCCTTTGCGCTTATATCCTTTGACGTAAAACGATTTTCGACATGGTCCCCAATGCCTTCATTTTGTTTTACAAAGTCAAAACGCGTTCGTTGACCACCGCCTGCATATCCTCAGCCTGCGCTCTGCCTGCCTGCCTTCCTGCCTGCCTGCCTGCCTGCCTGCCAGCGGGCAATAGTTGTTGCTCGCCCAGTTGTTATTGTGATTTTGCACCCTCAGTCGACCCTGTAGTTCGGCTGGTGGTCGGTGTCTAGTAAGCCGCCTCATTTAGTGAAGCTAAGGCCTCCAAGACTTGAACCATGGAAAAGTGTGTCTATCCAGAAGTCTGTCTACATTCGAATATATTTTCCTTATTTCTTTATTACAACAAGTAAAATACACATACACAAGTATATTTCAGAAAATTGAAATAAAAACGAAACTAAGTCTATGTTGAATCCATCTTACAGGAATCTTATTATGTATTCACAAAAACATTACTTCCGACACTTTTTTAATAACAAATAATTTTCTGCTGATTAGAAATATTGTGTCGAAAAATGGTATTCTAAAATGTTCTATCTTATAACAATAATTTAGCGGGCGTGTTTCCCAATCCTCTATTAGTGTAGCTATTAAGCTTTTTTCCCTCAAAATTTAATTATTAAATGTTTAGAATTCGGGATGAAAACAATTTTAAATAAATAAATAATTATTAAATAGCAATTGTTGTGGCAGTTGAAGTAATAACTAATTACGGATTTGCTTCCTAGTCCTAGCTCTTACTACCTACTACCCTAGACTAGCTACTCCTGCTGCTCACAAATGCAGCAAAACAGTTCGCTTTTTTGGCGCAAAGATTTATTGCCAGCTACACTATTGTTTTCAATACCTATGTGCTTTTCGTGCCAACAATAGGCCTACCCGCACATCTCAACAGTTGCAGTGCAAGGTTCTTGCCGCCGAACTGCAGGGGTGCTCGGCGCTTTTGAGAGTGAGTGCGTTGTGTGCAAACAGAAAAATTGTTTTACACCTTGCTGTTGGTTGCGTGTCTCGCCCACCCCATTTGAGAGGGCGCCCGAGGCATTGCCAATGGCCAATACTTAAGTGTTCAAAGAAGGTGTAAATTTTGTGTGAAAAATAACAGAAATGGGGTTTCAAATTCAATTCTCACGCAGCAATGTGAATCTTTCAGTTTTCCTCATCTGGGTTTCTTTTGCTTGTTGTGTTTTTTTGCGACTTCAAATGTGGCAACGTTCTGGACTTCCCTACTCTGCTTACTGCCAGGCCCTGCCGAGCTTTGAACACACACACGAAATTACTAATACCCAAGGGATGGATGCGGCTCTCAGCTCGTATTTTTCGGCAAATTCAAGTGGAAAAGTAAAATTGAAAAATTACGTTTGCTGTTTTTATGCGAGAGCTCTACGTTTTTCCTTTACCCCATTGCCAATGAGCCAATACTTGTATACCAGCTGGGTGTGGTGTGCCAAATCAGAGCAGCGAGCAACTAGTGCCAACTTTTCCTCGAGCTCACAATACTTGTGTGTATGTTTGTATGTGTATGTGTATGTGTATGTGTATGTGTATGTAACGTACAGTATGTGTGTGAGTTGAAGGAAAGGGTAGCCCACGAGCGGTTTGTTCAGCAACTGCGTCGTCTTTGTGCTTGCTTGCACGCACAGTGCCAGAGAGTTTAAAATAACACATTTAATTTAATCAAATGCAGAGATTGCAAATGTAAGCTTATCCCCAAATCGTTCAATTGGCGATTTCTGAACATACCAGAAATACTAAGGGGGGGCCGCCAGAGGCAGAGAAATAAAAGGCCTCTTTAAAGCCACATTCAGTTGAGGTCGCATTCAGTTTATTTTGACGTGTGATGCTTTTACAATCTCCACAGAATTAGGAATGTTTTGACAGCGGCCGTGCCCCACTTCCTGGCACATCTTCATCTTAGCTTTCGTAAACAACAGTGCGCCGAGCCTAATCATCCAATGATAACATAAATATTTTGATATATTTTCGGTCAGTTTTAAGTTACAGCGTCTACGAAAAAGAAATTTAAATTTAAGTGTCTCCCACTTCCTCCCCATCTGAAGGCATTAAAATATTTACAACCTTTCCTTCCACTGCAGGGCAAGACTCTAATAGGGCAGCACTGCCTTAAGCTCGTAGCCATCGAACTCGTTAAGGACGCGCAGTCCGACAAAGAAGAGGGCAAAGCTCTTGAACAGCATCCAGTAGAATTTGTCATTGTAAATAATACGCGCAACGCGCTTAAATGTTATATCCCCGATGGCCATAATAAATATAGATGTGTGTGTGTGTGTGTGCGTGTGTGTGTGTATGTAAATATACTAAGTAACTTGGAAATTTTCAATCGTTGGTGCGTCTGGGTGTGTTTGTGAATAAAATTTGTGCCGGTTGGGGGGCTATGTGGGGGGTTTTTAAAGACTTGTGCAGTTAATTCGGAATTTTGCGTTCTTCTATAATTTTGTATCAAGCATTTAGTTGAATGTTACATTTTTCACTGACATTTAAATCTCGGTAACAAGATATGCATATAATATATGTATGTATGTATGTATGCTTCAAAAGCTCTGTCAAAATCGAGCAAAAAAAGATTAAACTCAAAATAAATTGACAAATGCGCTAAGCCGCTTAGCGCACAAAACAAATTATTGACGGTATAAATATGCGAAGATAGATGCATTCTGCAAGGGCTATATTGTCAGTTTGAGAGGATCTCCCTCTCTCCCTCTCTCCCTCTATCTCCCTCTTCCTCTGTCCCTCTACCCCTCTCCATCGGCCCCTACTCCCAGTTGTCTGTATGTTTGTGTGCCTTATTTTCGTGATTTATTTGTGCAAGTAGACAGATTTGAATTTGTAATGCCCATTGTGTAGACGACAAGGGTATTAAATTCATTGATTTGGTGGTTGGGGAAGAGTTGGGGCTGGTGGAGACGGAGACGGAGGTGTGGCTATAGGGTATAGGGTCGGTCTGTGTAAGTATGCAAATAAACGAATTGATAAACCGTTTAAGCTGCCCTCATAGAGACATCAATGCCAAATGTGGCCACCAAATCCAAATCCATGCCAAAATACGAACTGAGCCTTCTGTTGTTGCTGCTGAGTTTGGAGATTATTTGGTTATAGTAGTTGTAGCTGTTGCTGTTGATGTTGCTGTTGTCGTTATTGCTATTGTGGTTGTTGCCACTGATGCTGCTGTTGTTGTTGTTGTTGTTATCTTTACAGTTATGTGAACCAATTTGCGACAAGTTTTTGCATGTCATATTTTTGGAATTTTGAAATTTATAAATTTTTAAACTGACCGAAAAACATTTAAAACGCCTTAACACATGCTCAAGCAACAACTACAAAATCATGAAGAAGATGCAGAAGAAGAAGCAGAAGCAGAAGCTGAAGCATAGCTGTAACAACAACAGCAATAGCAACAAAAAATGTAGCTGCCTTGGTCATAAAATGAAATCTCAAAGGACGACATGGGGCCATTTATGACACTTACTTCTTATCGTTGTCTTTTGCTTGCCCCTCGTCAGGCATCGGTGTTGAGTTCTCTGCCGAATTCCCCACTGCTGTCACCTACATACGCACAACCACACACACACACACACGCACACCACACCTACAACCAGGACACGGCCATGAACACGGACATAGATACGGACACAGACACAGACACGGACACGGACACGAAGACGAACAAGACGGCGAACACAAACTTAGACAGACAAGCTGGCCAAATCCCTTTTCAATTTCTGAGGCTGCAAACTTTTGCCTCAGTGTTTATCATTAAATGAAAGGGTTGGACAGCTGCACAGCTGAAGGGATAGGCGGCATATTGAAGGCCTGCGACTTAGACTGGGTCTGGGACTGGGAGTGGGACTAGGTCTGGGCCTGGGCCTGGCAAACTGACGGACAGACGGTCGGCCGTATGGACAACTGAATGACCGGATGCGGATAGCAGACAACCGCCATAGAACCGACCAGCCGAAGTGTCGGCATCGTTTTATGCCACACACCTACACATAACCACATAGACACACACACACACACACATACACTGACACTGCAGTTGCCAGTTAAGCCACTTGCCAACCTTTTCCAAAGTGGCCTCCGTTTCCCAACTGCCCAGCAATCAAGACTGTCTTGGAGGTGGCGCGATTCAGTTGCAACTAGTTCACAAATAAAACATAGCAACTAACTTTAAAAACGTGGTCCTCAAATACTTAATAAATGTATCTATAACTAACACTGCATTGCTTTGTTTTTGTTTTTTTTTCTACTAATGCTGAACACAAAGATCTGGTGTATCAGCCAATAAGCCAATTAGCCAAGCAGTGAGTATTTGAAATGGGAATGCAGTTGTTTCTCTTGCCTCTTAATTAGTAGCTCTTTTTCCGATAAAGCTTTCTTTGCTGCCCATTATCTACAAATTATATTTTTATAGCGTGTCTCGAGGGGTGCTTGATATACTACAAGTATGAAAGACTAGATGGCTTGGTTTCTAATTAAATATTACCCATGCTATAGTTCTTGGCAAAACAAAAACATTTCAAGGACTGTTTGAATAAACTTCTCGCGTAGTGTCTGAAAATCTGGTTCTTTAGGGTCGTTAGGTCTGCACAACTCTTTTCTAAAACTCCTTTGTGCATGTTTGTATGCTTGTGTAGCTGTGTGTCCGTGTTGTTGCCGCCTTATTGATTATGTATGCGTAAAATTTTATGAACGCACATATTTTCAAGCATTTTCATACAAAATTTATGCATAATTTTGCATTTTTCGTTTCGTTAGCTTGGGTTTGCCTCGACCTCCACTACCACTTCCCTTCTCACCTTCACATCTACTCCGGCTCTGTTCTGCCAACTCTTCGCTCCTCGCTCTACACTCTTCACTGTTGACTGTCCACTGTCCTGTTGTTATTGCTCCTTCGTTATGCTCATTTTCTAGTTCTTGGCGGCAATCTTCTTCAACTTGTGCCACTTATTCAATTTGTGTTTTACCCTCGCAAATAGTTACACGAAATTTGGTGCCGTTTTTGCAAATTACTTAAAGCACCGAAACTTGCTACATTCTGGGACTTTCGGGCTCAAATGCTAAATAGATGATGGGCTTGGCCTGGACACCCACACAGAGCTCACATACCCACACATACCCATGCACATACATACATACATAAGTAGAAATACCGAAAAATTCAATGAAAAGCTGCGCGGCTCTGCATTGCGACGAATACGGAATTACTTTTTGATATGTCAATGCTGCTGATTGCAACTTGATGTGGACAGCGGAGTCAAGTTTCCATCAACGTTTGCGTCAACAATTTGTAGAGGTGGGAAAGCGGGAAAAGCGCGGACTGTTTTATAACAATAATGACAGCGATATGGATCAGACCATTAAAGGACCATTTTAGGTAATGTGCCGGGGTTGGAGTGGTTGGACCATCAGTCATGGGTCCGAAACACACTCAAATAAGTTGTCTACTTTATGCCAGTCACGGTTTTATGGGGCCTTCCTGCGATTTCCGACTGCCACCCCTAATCAAAGGAATACGTTTGATATTTTTATTGTTTTTAACAGACGACTTGATGGGCCTAATTATTTCATTAATGCTTTCAGGCAATTAGCACGTTCAGTCCTTTTAAATTTTGAGCCATTGCTATGCGAAATTTAAAAAAAAAGCATATCAAACAAACGCGCTACGCAAATGAAGATGAAGTTATACAACTAAGAAAACGAGTTTAATTCCTTTCTCCAGTTCTATATTTTTTCGAAACGCCACAAATAGTATTCAATAGTATTCCCATTGATCAGAAATTTTCTGCCATGAATATGAAATTAAGGTCAATTAAGGTCTTATTCAGTTAGTTGATAGAACATTTAGATACCAAATGGATATTTTACCAATTACGAGGCGTCGAAAGATTTTAAATATTTGTTTTCAGGAACATTATCGCAGCCATCGCGCCTCTTCCATTCATCATCTTTGACTCATCAGTTGTTGTAGCGCTTCAGACACCCGCGCACCGGACAAACAAAGGGTTTGCCTGATGGGCCGTTGGAGCCGACAGCTGGTCGGGTGTCGTAACGCAATACGAACTCAGTGCTGGGTTCATTGGGATCCCCGGGGTCAGTGCTATCGTTGAGTCCGACGATATCCATTTCTTCATTGTCTGTCTTGCTATCTGTTGCCGTCAAGTGCTGCTTAAACTCCCAATTGTCCCCGATGGCTGGGTTCGCTAGTATTTCTAAAGCCTTCTAGCGTGCTTCGCTGGAAGCGTAGGGCAGCCCATAGCTCGAGCTGGGCTTTCTCCAGCTTTAGGGTTAAATGCGATATGTGCTTCCTCTATGTGGTATATGAATTCACTTAATTGGAGAAACTTTAAGCCGCAGATTAAAAAATGTGGCGTGACAATTCTTTGACAGTTACGCCAGTTAGGACAGCATAAGTTTTTCGATAAACAACAACCAAGCAAGTCTATGGCATTGTCATACTCGAAGCCAAAAGCTTGTTTTTTAACTACTTGGGTTCTGGGAAGACTCACGTAAGCCTAAAGAAATTGTTATAGTGCCTAGTCATGGCAGAACTGCATTCCAAGTTTCTGCTCGGTTAGATTTCGGGTAAATGCCTTATAATTAAATAATAACTCAAATGAATGCAAATGCATGATAAGCAATATTATTCTAATTGAAATAAATAATGGAAGAAACTGCAGCTTTTGGGTTATCCTACCCTAAAAGTATGCAACATAAAATTGTAAACAACGACTAAATGGCAGCAGAGAGCACGCCTGCGGCACTCGAACACAAAAGGATGCATTTCAGAGCAGCGATTACATGCCAAATTGAAATGGAGACGCATCATTAAAATTCAATAATATGCAGATTTAAAGATAACAATAATACTGCGAATCTGTCGTTGCTTATGAACAGCAGCTGCTGGAGCTCGGATTACAAATATTTCAAGTTTAATCAAAGCATGGCTTACACCAGCGATGGGTACGAAGTGGCTCTTTCGGCTCCCAACACTCTTTTCATTATACTTACTATGGTGAGTGACGAAGCAATGAATGAAGCAAAAACACGCGCAAAAACACGCGCAGCTCGTTTGTCGTTGCTTGCTGATTTTTATTGAAGATGTTGTTCAAAAGTACACAATAGAGAATTTAATATTGGCATTATGTTTAAATGGAGTCATTTAATAAACAAAGGAAAAATACATAAGGGGACTAGGAGAGTGTACTTTCCAAAATTGCCTTCTGCCTGTTGCATACTTTACAGAATACTAAGATACCCTGATTACCCTACATGTACAGGGTATACATGTACAAAATATGTGATGACTATTAAGAAGGAAGGCTCGAATGAATTAGGAGCTTAGTTGCGCACCCAGTTACCCTTAATAGATTGTGAGAAGTAACAAGACGAAGAGAAAAACTGAAAGATTGATGCATATTTTTTCATTCTATGCTTTACGGATTTGCTGTTCGCCTTCTATTTTTGATAAAACAACAAATATATAAATAAATCAATTAACTTGATTTGAGTTCAAGAAAGCTCGGATATTGTTTAAGTTAGTTTCAGTTTAGCAAAAAGGCCCTCTTAAAATGCTAATTTTGTAAAATAAGAAATTGTTCTCCAAATGAATCATGTGAAAAAGATATTTCAAAAGTTTTCCATGACACCGGATAGTTTTTGTGAACAGCCTACAAAATATAACTTTTAAAGTCTTTGCAAAGTCGAAGATATTGTTTGCTTTTCGCTTATCTCTTTTGCTGACTGAGCAATCAACTTAAGACATAATTTAATTGCTCTTTAAATGCAGAACACCTGTGTCGTTTTTGTTTTGGCTTGAAGCCATCATCATCATCACCATCAGCAACATCAACAACGACGGCGACGACAACGACAACGAATTTCCTGAGAGCCATGATATTGACAGGCTGGCATTCATGGCCGTGTAATTCATGTCTTTGTCTTTTCTCACATTGCGCAAATATTTTGCCATTCATATTTCACCTTTTAATCTGTGGCAGTGGCAGGCTCTTCTCCCTCCTTTTCTGTCGTTGTCCAATGCAGAGCTAGTTGATGATTTTTTTTTTTTTTCATTTTTTGTCGTTGTGTTTTTTTTGCAGCCCTCTTTGTTTTTCAATAATTCGTTATTATTGCTTATCCAATCGGCGAATCAGGCCGAAACGTTGTGCCACCTGAGTGAGCAGCTGTTATCCTGTTTTTCCAACTTTTTTTTCGCCCACTGTATTAATGTGCTGCCGGTAACGGATGCAGTTGATTATTCATGGCCTGCTTTGCTGCTGTGCCTTTTTCTGGCTCCACGTCTCGTTCCCTGCAGCTCCTGTTGCTGTTTGCGCAGTTGGTATTGTTGTTGTTTATATGCATGCAGTGCTACGTTTCAGTAATTATTCGCAACTTGTTTTTCTTTGGTCGGCCAACCATCTACATGTCGCATTATTAAAGAGTGTCAACGGCATTAACATCAATGGCCATCGATGAACTCTGCCCCCGGCTATTTGCTTAGTTACATACTCTCGTACATTGGCACAACAACAAAGTCCCATCGAGACATCTGCAGTTTGATTTGCCGTTTGTGACGTTTTGTAGTCACATGTTCAACAAGCTTAGCACCCCGTAAGCTCCATCCTAAGCTTGGATGCTACAGCGGGCACTCGATACCGCAGACACCTCGAGTCTCCATCTTCAAATACTGATCAAATTTTAGTTCTTAATTTCTTGCTACCACAATATTAGAAAATTTATTTCAAAAAAATAATTTAAATGCCTACAAAACGAATTTCAGTTGAAAACAAATTGTTCATCTAAAAAAAATTGATTTAGAAATTAAAAGTTAAATTGGAAAAATGAAATTGTCACTTTTTTGATGGAGCTCGGAGCTTGAAGACATCTTGGAAAGAATTGGTAGAAACATCCTGGCCATCAGAAGCCAGCTTTTGCAATAAATTTGGCTTTCAATATCTAGCCAGACTGATGGAGTCAGACAATTTGGAAAGGGTTAGTAAAGGTCGTGAAAACGCCAGAAATTCAACAACAAAGCAATTCCAACTGGCCTTTAGAATTAAGGCATATCCGATATCAGACTTAGCAATCAGACTGTGTGCACACGAGACTGCAGCACGATGATTGGGGACAACAAAATTCATTTTGCAAAGAGAAGAAAGTTGGTTTACTACTGCCTTTTCATCTTCGAAAATGCTTACAGGAGATGCATATCGTTGAATATAAATTTAATCTCATCGAGCGTGTACTGTGCTCTGTTTTATGAACACATTTTTTCTTCGCCCCATTGAGACTGTTACAGGGGCGGCTATCAAACCCATGCATATGAGTACACATGTAAGAGCTTGTCTGTCGGCAGGTGTGTGTACACCAATACCTGTAGCGCCCATTTTTGTGGGGCACGTAATAAACAAAATGCCGCCAGAAGGTATCAAACATAATCGTTATTAATATACATATTTTCAGTGTGTAAACATAATATGTGTTGAAGTAAGCGGTATAGCGCAGCAGAACCATCCTCTGCGGTCGCTCTGCAGCTAACCACACTTACTACACAGTCTCCACCCCAGCCCCACTCGCACCATCAACAGCGCCCGTACCCGCATCCTCACCCGCACCCGCACCCACACCCACACCCGCACCCGCACCTGAACCACAATCCACATTCAAAACACATACGAATACTCGTACTCGTACAGTCTGCAAAAGTTGTATGCAACCATGTGCTTACTAGTGTTCGTGTGTGTGTGTGTGTGCGTGTGTGTGTGTGCTCTGCCCCACTCTGTTGCTGCCTCTCTTTATACACTCTCGCCTCGTAGTTGCAGGCAAATTTATGCGACGTCCGTGCTCGCGTCGCTTTGCCGCACCACAGCGCCACCTGCAGGACGGCGTCGCCACCACGGCAAGCGGCAAACGGCAAACGGCGAACGGCGAGCAGCGAACAGCGATGCGTGTAACGACAACAATTTCGCAGTTGACAACGGTGTGAAATTATGCGGAATATGCTGCTTTGTTTCGGGATAAGTCGCGTTCCTGCAGCACTGGCGCTCAGGAGCATGTGGAATGCCGTGATTCCAAGTGAAGTCCGTGCTGGAGATGGGCACGTGAGCGCGTGATCAATGCCTGATTGTGGCAAGTGTTTCCTAAACTTGAGAAATTGTGCAAGTAATTTCGACCCAGTAAAAATGCAGTGCTTCTTCGTTCCGATATAGGTTCCGTTTGAACAATTTCCGTGATTCTGGGATGTGTTTCCTAAACTTGCGAAATTTTGGTAAATAAATTGCACTCAGTAAATATTCAGTGCTTCTTCGTTCCGCGATAGGTTCCGAGTCAACAATTTCAGAACATTATTAGGATAAATGTTATTTGTGATAATAACTGACACAAGTTGGAATTATTTAAGTCCCCGATGTCATATATGTATTTATCCTTCTATCTTAATGTAGACTTGTTTCATCTTCATCCAATTTTCTAATAATGAATTAATTTTTATTATTTAGTATTTACAAGATATGAGATTGTACATCGGTAAAAGGTATTTTCTAGCAAACTATATGTAAGAAGTTAGAATTACAAGCTATGATTATTTAGGTCGCAAATGTCAAATATTTCTTCTCCTATCTGAATGTATACTTGTTTCATCTTCATCATATTTGCTAATTATTACAAGCATTAAGTATTTACAAGATATAAGATTGTACATCGGTATAAGGTACTAGGCTGTTTTCTAGCAAATCAAATCTCAGAAATAAGGATACACATATGGGTGAATTAGTTATCCTTAAATGTCACAAAATCTTTTAAATTAGAAAGAGAGATGTTCTATAATATACAAGTATTTATTTAAAATAAACACATATACATATATGCATGTATATTTTAGGGATACATTTTAGAAAAATGCTACCACATATAGTGGCACAAAGCCCCCATATATTAGCCTGATTTTCATAGACAATTTTTAATAATTTAATTTGAATTTGAGATTGTTTCTTATGAATTGTGTACAATCGCACTTTCTAATAACTTAAACATTCAGTTTTAGGGATCTTCATCTTCTTCCCATATAGTGTTCCCATATAGGTATTCGTAGCTGATGCTCATAGATTGCTAAGAATTTGCTGAGACTTTGTTGTCGGTTCGAGAAAATTGAAAATCACATAAAAGAATTGTGGAGCATTTGGAGAACTGACTGAACTTGACTGAACCCAACTAATCAGTTTATAATACCTGCCCGTCATGCATAATTTCAACGAATTTGTTTACTCACGCGAGCGCGGCATGTTCGGTCGCCAATGCCTCTTCTCAGACCGCAACGAGCTGCTGCTCAGCGTACAGCCGAGCGGACGGCTGCGAACCAAATACATTATGGCCAATCCTGTGGATAAGAAGACTCAGCTAAGTGGACAGATGGCGTTGAGTGTCATAGAGACGGAGAATGTGGAATTGGAGCAGCATGGCATTAATCACTACGAGGGCGGCTGGCCGAAGGATGTGAACATTAATGACGAGGAGCAGACGCTGCGGCATCGCAAGAAGACCGAACGCGACGATAGTTGGGGCGTTCAGGTCGGAAAAATAATCCGAGATGCCACTGCGATTGCGTATCGGAACAACTCCATCGACATATACAAGACATTCTTTGACGACGCTCTGGAAGAGCCCGTCCTTAAAGCGGACATGTCGACGCGTGACATTCAAATCTTTCACGATGTATGGATGCCGCATCGATTTCTGCGCTGTTGCGACTGGATGCCTGGCAATAATCGGAAATTCTTGACCACATACTGCAATCTCAGACGGCTGAAAAAACGCTATAAAAAGTCAGCTAAGCTGATGTCTGGCTTTGGAACCTCGCACGCCTTCTTTATATGGGATCTGAAGGATCCGCTCCACCCGATTCAGTTTTTTGATCTCAAGGAGGTGTTATACCTGACTAAGCTATGTCCTCGCGACGAGAACCAGCTAGTGGGCGGCACTCACTCCGGCAAGGTGTGCATATGGGAATTAGGGGAGACGAGTTTTCCCGTGCGCAAGTGCCCGCTGGAGGCTGCACATCGGGAGGCCACTACCGCAATCTGTTGGGTGCACAATAAGGCCAACACCGAGTTCTACACGGGATCGCTTGATGGTTCTGTTAAGTATTGGGATACGCGCGATGTTCAGATGTGCACCCAGGAGTTTTTGCTCGAACCGGACACCCAAGAGATTCAGAATCGTCAAAATGCTCATGGGGCTACCGTATTGGAGTTCGAGTACACCATACCCGTGCGCTATATCATCGGTAGTGACATGGGTTATGTTTTTGTGGGCAACCGCAAGGGCTTATCGCCACCGGAAATCATACTGAACCATTACCGCCTTTTCATCGGACCCATTCGAGTTATAATGCGTAATCCGTTCTTCGTCAAGAACTTCCTGATTGTGGCCGACTGGCGCGCCCGCATCTGGAGCGAGGAGAGTAAGGGCGCGCCTAGCACCATGTACATGACCAGCCGGTCGCAGCTTCTATGCGGTGCTTGGAGCACCGGCCGCTGTTCCCTCTTCGCGACTGGCGATGCCAGCGGAAACTTATGCTTTTGGGATCTTTTGCTGCATCAGCGTAAGCCGGTGTCGACAGTAACGTTTCCCAAAGCAATTTCTTATCTAGCATTTCGTCCTGATGGGCAAATGATTGCCGTAAGCCTCGCCAGTGGAGTCACCCATATGCTGAGCCTGGCTAGTGGCATGACATCCGCCACAGCCAGAGAAAAGGGACTCATTGCGGCGGCAAGTACCTTTACCCTCGATACACACATATATGTTTGTCCGTCCGTCAGTTCATCTGTTTGTCTGTTTGTCTGTCTGTCTATCTGTCCGTCCGTATGAGCATTGTTCTCAAATGAGGTTTAAGGTTCATTGCCAGCCATTTAATTTTTATACAGCTACCATAGGAAAGATGGAAAGCAAATAAATTATAACACTCTCGGAACCAAGCTCTTGTCAGTTAAAAGACTCTGGGGAAGGGGCTTGTGGGTACAGGGGACGCGAGAGTCGCAGAGGAACGATTTAGTTATGTAAACCCTTAATTTATCTCATAGATGTTTGAACGTGAAATTGGGCGATCCAAGTTCCTGGAAGCACGGGTTGAGGAAGTGAAACTTAAACGACTCTCACACCAACAGAAGGAGGAGGAGCGTTTGCGTTTGGAAAATGCAGATTTAGATGCTATAAAATCCTTGGAGGTAGATACCGCAGATCCTGATGAGTTCAGGCACGAAATCGAGAGCGATGAAGAGTTTGTTCAGGCAATAGTTGACTATGAGATTACCATGGAGCTAATGGCACAGAAACGTTCGAAGCGGGCTATCACAATGGAGAAAACTGTCTTTGAGGAGATAGAGGAGGAGAAGCTGATGGAAACAGTTGATATATTAGAGGATGCAGGGGCAGCGGTAGCGGCAGCGGTAGCGGCAGGGACAGAACCAGCAGACCGCAAAGCTGCTTGAGATGCACAACAGCTGGCAGTGGGGAATGAAGCTTCAATTTTTATATCTATTTTATTTTGTATTCTATTTTCCTTCTTTTATGTAATATTAAGAGCGCTTCTTGCACGCCTCACAAAACAAAATGTTGTGAGTATGCCGGGTGATGGGAAACACTAAAGCCGGACACTACCGGAATGCCAAAATGCATGCACACATGCCAGTGATGTGCAGAAAATCGCAAACCGTATACACAATTTCACAGTTTTACTCAAATGCTGAGGAATGTAGTTTGAAAAAACCTTTTGTTAATTCTCCATAATAGTTACAAGTTTTAGGGGTTCATCACTAACACCGATCTCTTATTTAGAATTCGGGGCAGAATAATATTTATGCAGAGTGTATAGGAGAAACACTCCTAATGTTTCATGATTGTCATAAAAATCAAGCTTATACATTATTTCGAATTCATTTAAATGGCTGATAACTTAAAGGGAATTGCACGCTGTATATATTTTTCGACTTCAATGAATGAAATGTTAAGGTCGGGTCTGGAGAAAACGACATCAAAGGGGCTTCATCCCCCTCACTCGAAGTATAAATCAGAGATATCGGATATAAGCGCTACGGCTTTAACCCAAGTGGGGTTTGTGGTGACAACAGATTTTAGAAATAACTTTCAAATCACTCCGGGACAAAAGTAAAGCCCGGCCTATTAAATTATCGTATGATAAGTTGAAGAGCCCCTTTGACGGGAAATGTGTCTCAGTGATTATTATCACATGCCTGCTGCGAACAGACACATGTGAGATATAATGCCAGAACTGCTGGCATTTGGGCTGGCATTACTGAGCTCTGGCTTTGGCTCTGTCTCCGGCAATTCACGTTGCCAAGTTGCGCCCCGTCATGTGCTGCACGAATGCAGTGGCATGAATGGAGAGTGGGAGAAAGAAAGCTGCTGTTAGTGTTACTATGGCTGGTGCTTATGCCACTGCTACCGATGATGTTGCTGTTGCTGCCGCGTGCGAGATGCTCCAAGGTGTCACACTGACAGTTGAGTTGTCCTCCTTGGTGCTGTTCCTGCCATTGCCGTTGCTGTTGCCTCAGCCGCTGCCACTGCCACAGCCACTGCCACTGCCACTGTTTGCCTGCACGCCTGTCAATTTGGCTTTCGGTTTCAATACACTGCACGTCTGGCTGTACAATATATATTCCGCCAGAGTCGTCACGCCAGCTGGCCCTGACACAACGGCACCAATAGCAGCAGCAACAACAAACAGGACAACAAATGCCCTTTGCCTCTGCCCTTGACTGGGCTCGGCGCTATTCGATGCTGATGATGCTACTGTCGTTTCGCCGCCGGTTCTGTCCATCTGCATTTCGATTCGATTCGATTTCGATGTTTGCCTTGATTTGATTTTATTGCCATTGACAACACACAAATCATGGCAATTCTCTGGCCACAGGCACAAGACACTGTCACAGTCACAATCACAGGCGCAGGCACAGGCGCAGGCACAGGCGCAGGCACAGGCGCAGGCACAGGCGCAGGCACAGGCGCAGGCACAGGCAGAGGCAAATTTTATGGCCAGCATTTACCCCTAACGAAATTCCACACAAAGCAATCGAGTAACAGTTACTGACAAACTGGCAAACTGACAAGCTGACCAACTGACCAACTGACCAACTGACCAACTGCACGACTGAATGCCCGTATAACCGTATGACTGGGCAACAAAGCAAATACTCGTACATACTTACAAACAAACAAGGTACGATAGTACTATACTTTGGTAGGAATATCTAAGTATGTGCACTGATAAAAAATTTGCATGGTACGGATGAATATTTTCATATTAATTTAATATGTTCACCTATTTCATATTCAAGTCATCGTAAATTTTAGTAAAAACATATTCAATTACTGATTTTAATATGAATAATATTCAAAACAAAGTGTAAAACTTCGTTATTAAAGTGTGTCATATTCAATTTAATGTTAAACCATATGAAATATTAATATTCACACACTTTAAATAACAAATAGTTAAACTCACTATATTCCGTACTTTATGTTATATATTTTTCTCAACTTTAATTTGACGTTTTTTGTAGTCGATTTAAATATACTAGAAATACTTGTATATTTAATTTCAATTAACTAGAATTCTAAAGTCGGTTTTCAGCGGTTGTGTGGTATAAACACAAAGTGTAACCGCTTGAGATACAGATTTGGTCGTTAGGTATGTGTCAAGTAAGGGTTATTCAATCAGCTGCTTCTCACTTTTAATATTAATATGGATCCAAACTATATCCGCAATAAAATGCATAAAAAAAATCGAGAAAATGAGTTCATAATGACAAAAGAATTTTCAAAAAAAAGTATGTATATAGAAATAAAATATGCATCATGGAAATTTCAATATTGAAAAGAGTTAAAAAAAAGCAGTAGCGTAGACCAAAAAGTGGAAAAAATATTTTATAGTTGTAAAAAATAAACCTATGGCGTGAATCAAACCCACGTCTCCGCATTATCACTTGAGATTTAATATCGTCACACTTACATTTAATATTTGAATATTAAATTTTTCAATTCAAGTGTGCTCACTTCATATTTACTAAAACACACGATGGTGCAAAATTGATGGTTAAAACAGTTAAATCTACGCGTGAATATTGAAATTTCCGTGCTTATTTTTATCAGTGTATATTTGCATGTGTGTTTGCCACATTTGCCTGCACAGAGGGGATGTGGCTATTTATGTGCCCAATTTTGGGCAATGGCTCATCTGATGTGCTCCTAATGCAATCACCTGACTGTGCTTTGTGTCCCGACTAGCTCCAGTGGGTTGGGCCAAGCACTGCTAGCTTAAGTCCTGGTCCTGGTCCTCAACATCGTCGTCACCGTCGTCGTCGTCGTCATCGTCGTCATCGTCATGCTAGTCGTAGTTTATGCTTTAATCTAGATATGAGTGTGTTATATTGTGCTTCGAGCTACCACCAAGTACGGTTTTGTTTGGCTCAACGCGTCATCAACAACGACAAGGAAAATGAAGTCGTCGACAAAATGTGAAGCCATCCATCTGCCTATTGCCATGCATCTCATGTTTTCGTAACTGCCTGTCAATACACCTTTGGGAAGAGGTAATGGCAAAGGCTGATAAAAGATGGGACAGCACATCCACAGAGTTGTCAATTAAAATACTATTGGGGAAAAAGGACGCACGCATTGAAATAATTTGTCCAAGCATTCCAATCAATACTTCATTTCATGATACAGCTCTCGTTTAATTCATAATTCTTGTAATTCTTTGAAGGTATTCGCTCAAACAAACAGAGTTCCAAGCTCAAACGAGCCGAATTGAATTTGAGAAAAGAAGCGCAATCTAATCGAACTGGAATTTAATTTAACAGAACTTTTGGAGAAAAGCTTGTAATCGTATACGACCTAGTCCACTTTAACGGAACATTCTTTCCTCTGGAAATGTTATCGAAAAGAAGTGAAATTAATCTCACAACACGTTCAACTCGTTTGGAGAAGAGAAAAGTAAAATATTTTAATTTGCTTCCTCTGCATTTTCAATTCAAGTCCTGAACAATTGCAACTTGAAACCCAAACGTGTAAATCCCCCAAAAATTCGCTGAAACCGTTTTAAATGATTCCAATGTGTGCTGATGGATGTTAAGTATTTCTTTTGTGAAGGTCTTAATCAATAAATTGGATGGAATTATTTACACAGCCTGAAAAGGTTCTTCGCCGGCTCAGACTGAAAATGAAGGTTTGTTGTCATTCTTAATCAATTAAAGCAATTAAAGTCAATTTTATTTACATTTTTCTAAACATGAATTATTAACAAATCAATTTTTAGGTTTTCTAATTTACTAGTTAATATTAGATCTCTGGAAAACATAAATTGCTGTGAGGATTTCCCAAAAAAGATGCATAAGAGAAATACCAGAGAAAGCACTGCTCTTCAAGTAAAGGGCAGCAATATTTTCCGTACTGCTGTAGGCGGAGTGTTTTTCAGAGCACTTCGGCATTCACAAGCCGAAATCGTTGTTTGTTTGTTCATCTTTCGAACGAGTTATTTCAGCAGCAGTTTGGTGACGATGACTGCACTTCGGCTGACTGGCTTTGACTTCAACGTGACGGCGCCCCACACATGGAACCACAGCAGCTCCCAGTTCCTGCCACACTCCCACATTGTGATGCTGCCACACTGCGATGCTGCCACACTGCCACACTGCCACCATGCCGCCGTGGCAAGGTGCCACACACTTGCCCACATCCGATTGCACGCCCCATGCGTAGCTCGGGGCTTTTCCATTTGCGTTATACACATCGGTGCATTAACGAAATTCGTTTGTCTCAAATGCTTCAGTAAGCAGGAGAGTATCTTTTATTTTGGGTTTTGCTTTTGCTGTTGTTTTTGTGCTTTTTGTTTTGTGTTCTCCCCCAAACATCATCATCTTCATTGTGCTGGTCTTCTGCTACAAAATAGTTGCGAAGTGAAGCGAATCAATGTTTGCTGTGTATCCTTGCTTGTGTCTCTGTGTGTGTGTGTGTGCGTGTGTTGTCCCTATTTTCCGTTCCTATCGCTTGTGTCCTGGTCAGTCAGATTGTCAAGCGAGCTTTGGAAAGGTAAGAGCCAATGCGACATCAATATCAATTGGGGGGAGCAGACTAATATCCTTTATGCTCTATCAATAGGTTGGCTGCAATGTGAACCGCAAATGTTCATGCTTTAAAGGGAATTTCTCACATTTTCATTCTTGGGAATTTCAATTTTTAAATTGTTAATTGACAAGCTGCAAACGTTTTATTTTATTAGTTTTTTCGGTGTATTGCTTTTTTGAGTCCGCCCATGTAAAATATGAGCTTTTCCATTGAAAATACCTCAATACGCACTCACACTTGTACAGTGGGCCACAAATATGGGAAAAATGCATACGTGGAGGAGGCTCGACTCTACATGAGTATACTGACATGTGCCTGGCTGGCTGGCTGGCTGGCTGACTGGCTGGCTGGCTAAAGTGCTGACGCAGCTGTTGTTACTGTTGTCCTGTTGTCCTGTTTTGTTGGCAATACCAATGCGAGTGCTCATGAATAGAGCAGACCGCAAACGAAACGCAAAACCGA